CTTTATTACGTTTTCAATAGTGATTATTTTCACATTTATTGGTTGAAAGTTTTCGAGATGGAAAATACTTAACGAAGAAATTAATAATTCAAAACTTATAAAAGTTAATGCCTCTGATTTTTTAACGATGTTATTTTAGTTTGTCATAAATTCTGATTAAATTCTCTCACAAGGCAGAAGCTTTAAAATCATTTGAATTTCAATAATCCCCAAAAAAAGTTAATCATAGATTTTTTTAACTTAGCTTAATAATTAAAAAATATTTTTATTTATAATTACTTATAAGAAAGCGGCTTGCATAAACAATTAATAATATTTAAAATATACTTATTAAGATATTGTAGAAAGCAGAATGTTGTTAAAAGTTGATATTAATATTCAACTTGAAAGATAACCCGAAGACACAAACTTAATATACATTGATCGATCCTTTACCAATTCCAACAGATGAATTTAATCAAATTTACTCTCGTAATGAATTGATACACTTTAATTCTATTTCTCCCAATTAATTGGAAAGAGATTTATGATTCATTTTGTAAGGAATTCCACTCATAACATTCATTATCTCTCTGTTTGCTAAACAATCGTTTTCATTTATTATTTTCTGCTGTATACAGTGTAAGGCCTTCCTCGTTGGTTATCTCAGGTTGGTAACAGATAACGTGTACTCGGGAATTTTAATACAGTTTACTCCATATCTGTATTAGATAATGATTATTTAGTACCAAACTTCGAAAACGATTAACATAATCTGATATACTTTATAAAACTGAACATGAGAAATGCTTAGAAACGTCCACCTGAAAGTACCAGATCGATAAAAAGAAATATATATTTGTTGATCTGATAGATCTGATCTGTCTAGTTAATATCTAGTGATGTAGACAATCTATCCCGGAGGAAATTTCTCTGGGATTCTCCCACGATACTAACTTCAGCAACGTAAAACGTGATTATATTAATTAAAAAGTTTTAATGAAATAGGCTTATATATGTTTGCTCTAAAATACTATTTCAAAATATTCTAAAATTTTATTTCTTATAATTAAAATTTTATTTATTACGCATATTTTTTTATAAGTCAAATTAAAATGATGAAAAATTAAATATAAGTCTAAATAATTAATTTAAATAAATTTTTATATATTCAAAATAATTAAATTATATATTCAGTATATAAAATTTTAATGTTTTAATTTAATCTGTGTAATTTAAACGGTGATTGGAATTATTATATGAAGACTTTCTATGTGAATGTCTTCTAATTATTTATAGAAATTGAAGTTAATAAATATTAATGTTATTTTTTTTTAATTAAGCAGAACGATTTTAAAAAGTCTAAAAATAGTTTATAAAATAATTATCGTATTTTCTTTATTAAAATCTCTTAAAATTAGAAGAATACTTTAAAATCTTTAAACAAATTGATTATTTTATTTTATTAAAAGTATGAAAGCATTAGAGTTGGATGTAAAGATTAATAATTTTTTATTTAAAATATTTATTGCTGTTATAACTTGTTCACAATTTTATAAATCTTAATGTTAAGTAAATGTGATCTTTATTCGTTTCCACTGTTTTGTTAAAACATACTTCAAACTCAGCAAACTAAATTTACTTACCAAGCAAATTCAAGACCTATAATTTAAGTTTGCAAAATTGCCCGAAGCTAGATAAATGCATAAAACTTATTGCACAAAGTGTTTGTTAGCTTTTAAATATATTCAGATTTGAAGTATGATATAACGAATCCTAATAAATGTAAAGAATCATGAACCACGCCTTCGAGACTCCATTAATAATGATTTTTAATAATTTAATTTTTTCTAGAATAATTTATAATGCATTGTCAAGGATTTCTTATTTTAATAGCACGAAACAGAAAATAATATATACACAAATTTGTTTTTTTTTTCTGAAATTTTTAAAATTTAATTGAGATTTTAATAGGTTTCATTTATAATTTTTATTGTTGATGTGTTTGATTGTTTCCTTTCTTTTAATTTATTAAACAAAGAAAAATTCAGGAAGATCCGCAAACATAATTCACTAAGCAAATAATAATGATGATTATTTTTGTAATTTATCATATTTTCATAAGATATTGTACCTTTGACCTTTCAAAATATCAATAATATTAATTTATAAAAAAGAAATTATATTAATATTTATANTAAGGTTAATAAGCGAGCGTTTTATACCTTAAATTATATAGATTTAAAGTGATCTATTTGAAAAAAATTAGTTTTTTTTTTAATCACTAAGCATCATAATATTTAAATTCAATGCTGAAAATTAAATTTTTCTTGAAATTTTACAGGTATTAAATTGATCTTATTTTAAATTTTTTAATTAATTTACGAAGTTTTTTTATAAAAAAATATTTATATCCAATTACATCAAAACAGAATTAATTAATTAAATTTTTTCCTTTTATTTATGCCTGTTAGCGATCGTATAATAAAAAAATGTGTATGTATATATATAACATTTTATTTATAGAATACAGGAATAATATATAAATAAATAGGAAAATAAAAAATTTAGTTTAATGCAATTTTGTTTTTATATCTCTTACATGCATTCCTATTCTTAGATCCATCTAGTTTTTCTTCAAAATATCCAGTATTAGCCCAATCTTGATCGATAAAACGCATAAAAACAAAAGAAATACAGATTTTGAATGTAGAAATACTATAATTTTAACTCTATGCAAAAATATTGACAAAAAAATACGATTGCATATGCAAAAAACAAGATAGAAAAAATTGTTTTTCTCTCCTCATCCACTAAATTTAGACTTAAATTTTCTTATAGTACTATGATTCAAAGAAATGTTATTTCATGCACAATATAATAAAATATTGAACATGTCTTGAAAATTGGTTTATATCAAGTTATATTGAACTTAAATCAATCCTTGATCCGTGTTGAATCTTAAGTTTTTATATTTTATTCCAACATAACAAGTAATATCGAGGATAAGTATATGTAGATAGCGAAATTATTAAACAAAGGATTTTAAATATATATCTAGCGCTATAGAAATTTTAAGAATTTAGAAATAAATATCAAGCCAATTCGAACGACTTTGTAAAAGCCTCTAGAGAAAATTTCCAATAAATGATAAAATTTAGAAAGTTTTTATTCGATTTTCAAGACACTCTTCTAGATAAATATATTATGTTTATATCTTCACGCATCTAGCAATTTGAAAGTAATATTTTAAAAAATAATCTCTTCAACTTTAACCTAAAATTTAAATCCGCCTTTCCTTTAATATATATTCTTAATACGTGATTAAACTGTAAAATATATAATTTGGATGCATTTTCATCATTAAACGTCTTCGAATTGTTTATTTTTTTAATACTTTATTTTTTTATAAGATTCTAGATGTTTTCTTAAAATGTTTTACCAAAATTAATTAATTAAAACAATCTCAAACCTAAATAAATAGATCTCTAATGATGAACATAATTATAAAAGAATACAATCAAGTCAATCGCTATAATAGTTTCATTAAAATCTGCTCTATACAAATTAAAGTGATCGTATTACAAATTAAAATATACAAATATCAATATATAACTTGCTCATTACTGTAATGAATGTTTATCCCGATACGAGTATCTTTAACTTAGTAAATGATAGTTTTTCAATCTGTTTCTGGGACATCCGGATTTGTTACCAGAAGGTAACAGGGCATGAGCAGACCTTCTATCTGTAAATCCTTCATGTACTGGCTGTCATTGTTAAATTGCATCGGATATCTTCTTATCTTCGTTCTTCGTGTTTTTTCTATGGTTTCTTTTTGTTCTGGAAGGGATGCGAAATTCTCTTTGAAATTTAAAGTAAGAAAGAATTTGTAGAAAATTTATTTTAGTTTCTCAACTTGAACCCCATTTGACTGCCACTAAGATTGAATATTTAAAAAGTGAGAGGCGAGTAAATCTTCTTGATTTAAAATGTGTCAATTTTTCTTTTCTAAATGATCTTCTTTTTGTTTTACTTTAAAAATTGATTTTCTTCAATTAGTAATCCCTAATTTCGATATTTATAAAAATTACTTTATATTTTTTTTTAAAATTATATCGTTTTTTCAATTTTAACTTATTATATTTTTGCGTATTTTTAAAGTTATTTTAATAATATAAAATGAAGAAAATGTAAACTCACTCGAAAATATCGTAACTTTTTCGCAGAATTATAATAAGTTTTTTGAAAATAAGTCTTTTTTTTATAGCGATATTTATTCTTTCAGAAAATGTTCTCATCTGAGAAATTGGACAGGTAAGCTTGATGTATATCATGTGAATCCCAGACTGATGTATCATTAAAGAGATAGTTCCATGAATAATTAATGAAAGCTAGCTTCCTACAGATTTCTGATTTATGAAGATTTTGCTTCTTCCATTTGTTCATAACTATTCGCTACTCGTACGGATACAAACAAAGTCAATAATTTCTTATAAGCAGACATAAAAATGCTATGAATTCCGTTGGAATATTTAGTTATAAAGATTCTTATCATCACCAAACTCAAATTTAATATATCTTTATTGGTTTTTCCTGCACTCTAATTTATTTTTCAGCTCTTCGTATTGAGTAGTTAAGTTACTAGAATATTACGAAAAAATCATGCTATATAGTAACTGACACACGAAAAATATCAGTAAAAAACTGACCTGACAGATAGAACTAAGGAAATAAAATTTATATCGGATAAAGATCAAAGTGTATTGGTTAAATGATACGGAAATTAGAAACATTTTTCTGAGATCTACATCCGAATTGATATGTATATATATTACTTCCTTTCATAGAGAAGAGCATGTCATTTCCAGATGTTGTTTACTTGCTGTTTAACATAACATAAATTTCTAAAAGTATCGTTTGTTATCTAAAAATGCAATACTTTTATATAAATTTAATTTTTTTAAATCGGTAGCGACTAAGTTTTTATCCTTAATTAACATCTCATTATTTTCTTCCAGCCAAACGACCTCCAGTAGAAGAAACGGCTAACATTTTGCAAACATTATTAGCAAATCATGGACCTAATTATCTAGAAAAATTATTTGGTAATAAAGCAAGAGATGCACTGGCACCACTCGGAGGAGTTCAGAAAGTTGCAATTGCTCTCTCGGGTAAATTAAACTGATCTTTTCATTGTTTAAATTGCATTTTACTTTAAAACTGTAAGTAAATTAACTTAACCAATCCTAGTTTGCAAATTTTTGCATATAAACTATATTATATTCTTAATATATACAATTACTCTTTTAAATCTCTGCAATATCCTCGTCTTGTATAATAAGATAATTTATTATTGATATAGATTAAATAATTGTAAAGATTTATGTGAAAAATTTCTATAGGAAAATTATTATTCATATCGAAATTATCACTTTTTCGACGAAAATGTGTGGAAAATTCCCACACACACACTGCACGTTTTAATCATTTTCAATCAATGAATGCAACAAGAAAGAAAATTCTTAATTAAATTATATCTTCAAAGTTTTTTTATAATTTAATAATTTCGACATAAATTATTATTATTTATTATTATTTATAGAATATAACTTCTAAAACATAAAAGAAATATGACGAAAAGATATGGCAGAGCCAAAGAATGTATTTGAATTATCTTTTCTAAAATTTTTATTTATAATGGTAACATATCACTCTCAATTCTATCATTTATTTTTATTTGTAAATTATGTTTCTTATATATATATATATATATATATATTAATATATTATAAGTACAGTCGAACCTCCAATAACGGCCGCCTCTAAATGGCAGATGGCCGAGCGGCTAACATGGCAGCTTACCTCTCTTAGGGACTGGGATAAAATGCAGACGAGTCGAAAAATACTAGGAATTTTTCGGGTGTGGCTCTTTGCGATACGTCGGGCCTCGACCTCGGGCCTAGATCAGACCCTCAATTGGGCGGCCATCCGGCCGCCCAATTGAGGGTCTGATCTAACCCGTAATGGATTTGCTGAAAAGAGGCCCTCTTAGTGCCCACGAGACGGAAAGAGTTTTTTAAAAACCCTGTAAACGGCGGACATTTTTTCAGAAACATTTCTTTTTGAAGTGTGTTTAAAACAACCTTCAAACAACGGCCATTTTTTATGTTCCCGTCAGTGATCGTTGTTCAGAGGTTAGACTGTATTTGTAAAAATATCGTTTAAAATTTATTTTTACAAAACGTTATTCACTTAAAAAGATGGTAAAAATTCTTCAGTTTAATAGCTATACTAACACAATAAAGATAGTTTTAATTGATGCGCTAATAATTTGTAATTTATTTCTTTACAGAGAGTGAAACTTTGGACGATTTTGGAACAGCACTTCACTTAATGAGAACCGATTTGGAACATTTGAGAAGCGTTCTTACGGCAGTCGAAAGTGGAGACTTAAGTTTGCTCAAAGCTTTGGGGATCAGAGACTCCGAATTAGCAGACGTCAAGGTTTTCTTGGATAAATTAGTCAGCACTGGTTTCATGGATTAACCCGTAAAACCGGATTTCTTTTTTAAATTTTAAATTCTTAATCCGACGAACGATCTTAAGAAGTGATGTTAAGAAAAGAATTATTAAAAACAGCAATATTTATTTATTCTCTGATTTTTTTTATTATTATACGATATAAAAATAAACCGAGCATCGAGCATCTTCAATATCCTTGTGTATGAATCACATCATTGCTCAAAATGTGATTCTGTGATTTTACCCCATATCTCTTTCTTATTATACATCGTAATCGCTTTAAAAATATTCGTTTGGTTTGATAACATGTATTTTTAATATAACCGTAAATAAGAACAGATTTGCTTCAATCAGACAAGAAAAATAAATTAGTACAGTAAATTCTTAATTATAGAATCCATATTTAAATATTTTTTCTGCTCTATTTACACTATTTCTTCGATTTCAAACTGTGATCTGTAAATATATTTTTCTGTCTGAGTGATATGTTAATGGCATGGAAATAAATGCATATCGTGTGATTTTTGTCGTTTTGATATATGTAGATGAAACATGACATTTCACTCTCCAACATCAACAGAGGAAAAAAATGTTTGGATCAATTTTTAAAAATTATTCCAATGTTCTGCATCAAAATTAGATTTTAGCCTTGTTGTCTGATGGAATTTTACTAAATTTGATATAAAAATTGACTTACATACAGTATAAATATAAAGGCATTATGGTGGTTTTATTCAATTTCAAACTGTTATAGTTGTTGGGTAAACTTTTATGTAGGTTTAATGTAATTTAAAATTAACATAATTAGTAATTTATAAAATAGTTCATACATTAATTTCCATTGTAGAACAACGTTAAATTTCAGAATAATTTGATTCATACATTAAATATGAATGTCTTTTTATCATATTTAATCCAAAACTCCTTAGCAAAATCCTCTTGTATAATTAGTAATTTTATTCTCAGATTTAATAAAAGAATTTATCCCTGCACTGTGGTAATTATACGAGTGAATATTATCAGATTCAAACCATATAATACTGATTTTTGTTTTTTTGTTCCGGTTATCATGTTCTAATAATAAAGCATTTTAAAGTAAATCCTGTACTTAATTAAAACTTTAAATAATAATAAGCCGAGAGCATTATAAATTATGCATTAATTGTAAAATCAGAAAGATTATCGGCATAATTAGAAAGAATTATAATTATGTAGAGAGTTGCGATTGACTTATAAAAGATTTCACAGACATATCAAAGGTCATTACGTTTCCTTACCGAATAAGAGCGTGATTAATCAATTACTCCAATTTAGAACAATTAACGTAAGCGAAAGAAAATAAACTCGATAATTAAAGAAAATCCAATTGTTCTTCGAATGTTCAATCAGAAAAAAAATTAACTTAATTTCAATTTGTTCAAATATTAATAACAACATTCGAAAGTTTAAGCATGTAGCCCTAAAATAACATGTAGGCAGTATATGAAATACAAAATTTTCAAAAATAAAAAATAATAACAGAGAGAAGTGTAAAAAAAGTTCATGAATAAAATTAATTTCCTTATTCATGAGTCTAAATATATTTAATTATGCAAATCGAGTAGTAAGAAAAAGAATACATAATTCTATCGATTGCTTATCATAATATATAAAAAATTATTAAAACATTATTCACTCTGAACTTAATATAGTATAAGAATATAATTTCGATGTATTTAATATTTATTTATTTTATTTTAATTCAACTTAGTTTTTTTCTAAATATGTTTAAAAGATTAGAAAATTTTAAATTTAAAAAACAAGAATTAAAAGAAAAACTTAATTTAATGAAATATTTAAATTTATTTTGATTTATAATTTTCTCTATTCTGGTTATTTATTTACAGTTTTTTTTTTATAATTGTTTTCTTTTTAAATCTTCCTTTAAAAATTTTCCCCCGAGTTCCTAAGTTGTTATAAGAGAAAGAAATTCCGAATTCTAAAAAACTAGGCCTGTAGGTAGTATTAAGAAATACATATAACGAATTGTTATGCCCAACAGGCAAGACACGCAAAAGAATCGATCGCCCGTGAAAAGAACGATGATCGATGACTTTGGATGGATTCCTCGATAAAACCTAAGAGAATTGAGGATTTCTATATTCGAGCTTGGATTTTCTAGAAAGAAAACAAAGTTATATTCCTACCTGAATAGCAATTAATATATCTTATTAGAAATTGATGTGTCCTGCGAAATCTTGATACTTTGATAAAATAATAAGATTCGAAAAAATTACTATTTGAATATTACATATTTATAACTTTAAAATTTCGCAATTTGAAATAAATAGAATGGATTTAAATGTATCGGTTACAAATAGAAAAAATATTACTTTAAGAAACAAAAAATTCTTTGAAAAGCATAAATAATGACTTTAACCACAATGATTATATTAAAATGTGTTAAAGGATGTAGATTAAGTTTTCGAAAGTTTAACGCTTCTGTCAGCGATGAGGTTATAAAAATATGTACAATTATGTAATCCTACATTTCTCGAGCCCACTATTGGCCGAGTGGGTAATGTTACCAAACACTGACAGTTCGTCAGAGATTTGTCTGACCAACATAAGCTGTGTGGAGTTTTTAGGATTGTCTGACGTGTCTAACACCCAAGAGCCAGCTTCTCATAGAAGGGTGTTAGACACGCTCAGACGATCTTCTCGAGAAGCACCCCTTGGCAGATTGACCATGCGTTACTCTTATCCCATTAACCCAACTCCAATTTTATTTCTATCAATTTTTCCTAATTAAAATACATATTAATACCGTGAATGTTGCTTCTAACATTCGAACTAGTAATCCAATCAATAACATTATAACCATTTTCGTTTGAAGTTTTATTTAAATCCTTTTAAAATATTGAATTACTTCTCATTACATAAACTTTTCGTAGATAAATTTTTATATAAATATCCAAATTATTATCGTTAGTTTCAAACAAGTTAATATAATTTTATACTTTACTGTGCAAAATTATTTTCAGTGTAGTCTATTAATATTTAAAACATCACTTTCAACTATATTATTTACACAGTAATTATTTGACAGTAATGAAATTATTTGTACAGAATATTTTAACTTCTTGTATACGAAATGATGTTTAAAAATATCATTTACTTCATTTAAATTTAAAATTTAAATGTCCATGTATGCATAAATTTTGAAAATTACATTTCTGATGGAATTTTACTAAATTTGATATAAAAATTGANGGAAAAAAATTGAATTTTTATTGAAGAAAATAATGACGATGGGTTATATTAATAATTAATTAAATAAATATTAAATATAAAGTAAAATATTATCATAAAAGTATAAATTTAATACAAAATATTAGTAATAAAGTTATAAATTTCGTTATTTATTTATTGATTAATAGAATTTCCCAGAATAAAAATGGAATTGATGTTCATTAGTCTGTATTTATTCGAAGGAAGATACTTCTGTGTTCGTTGCTATATAGAACACTAGAGCACAATATGCCGCTTCATTTATAATGTACGTAAAAAATGCATTTAATTGAAAAATTGATCAGAATAAAAGTTATTTATTTCCGAGAAAATCTTTTCAATTTCATAAAAATTAAACCACCCCCTGCCCCTTATAGAGGGAAACTTTAAAATTTCAAATGGGACCATTCTATTTTTCTATTTTTAGATACTCCGTTAAAAAATAATAAAGTTTTATTTATTTCAAGTTATTAATTTATTAAATGTAAGATGTAAATTACTTAACAGAATTGTCATTTTGATTTTAAAAGCTATTTTTAATATATCTTTTAATCATTAGTAACTTCATAGATACAAATATAAATAACACATTTTTTGAAGAGAGGAAAAACAAATGTTCCTTTTTTTAGAAAACGATTGCCTCAAAAAGTTAGCATTCAATCAAAAAAATTCTGGATTAAACTTAAATAAGTTTTCTAAATTACATAATTACTCGTGTAATTATCTACAGTACTCCGTAAATATCGATTATTTAGACATTTAAATATCTTAGTTACAATAAATTGTATCATAAAAAAGCAAAGCATTTATGATACAATTTCTTTGACTGTTACTTTTTGGAAATACGACTAAAACTATTAGCCTAACATTCGTTTGAATTGTTTGTCCGGATTCGATCCTGGGTTCCCCAGAGTAGAAGCTGACGCCTTAACCAGTTCGGCCACCCAGTCGGCCTTATATATACAGATTATTATATTCTACTTTGTAATGAACACGAAACTATTTTCCTTAATATTCTAGTAATATTAAATTTAATATTACTCTGTAATTCAATATAATCATTCTAAATTAGCGTTTACTAATTTAGAATATTTTTGCTTATGTTATTATGATCAGTAGGCTAATAATGAAGTTTGTACATTTCTATTACATAAGTTATCCTTTGAATAATTTTATAAATTTATGAAATCATATTTTTAATTTATGTTATAGGCCTATAACATAAATAAAAAATATGATTTCATAAACATTTAGAGGTTCACCAACGGCCAAGTTGGATAAAACCACTGAACACTATTGGTCAGATGCAGTTTTCCGGGGTTACTTCACTTAAACAGGAGCCAGTTTCACTTAGAAAGTGCATCCCGGGAGACATTTTTCTCTTACAGATCTCATAAATATTTTTTAATGTTTCATTTCGTTATTACAAAATGTAGAACCAATCCAATATCTTATTACTAAATCTATAAATTTATTATTTATCGACTAATTTAAGAAACAAAATTAAAAAGAAAAGCATTAAATATTACTTGATCAAGAAATTCCGGTGAGAAGAAACGAGAAAAAATTTAATGTAACAATTATAGAATTTATCAAAAGAAATATCTCTATTTTTTTAAAAAAAACTTTGAATTATCTGAAAAACTTAATATTTAAATATTAATCTGTTTTAATGTAAAAGGTGTTTTATTGGATAAAGCGAAAACAGTGTTTAATTCTGAACTATAATGCGTAAAAATTATCTTGAAATATAATTTAAATTTTATGTCACTCGTATCTATTCGTTGTCATAAATACAAGCTTATCACTTTTTTCAATTCTCAAATCACCCATTTCTCCTTTAGAAACGTCAATGTGTGTGCGTATATCACTACTTTGCAAACCGACTGCAATTTCTACGAATGTGATAGCATTCCTCAAAATTACAAAATCTCGCAAGATCTAATTATTTGGGAATAGCTATATTTATTATAGATAACGATAATGAATAAATAACTTTTAACGAATAGTTAGCACAGAGAAAATAATACAAGAATATTTTAAAACTTTCTATCTCTCGAGGCATTCAGTCCAATAGATTTATCTATTGGACTGAATATGCCTCTGAGATAGCGTAATTCATTATATAACCAATCTTTATTTTACCCATTACAAATGGACCTGATCGTAATTGAGACAGCCACATACACTGCGATAGCAACCCAAACTGGATTGGATTGAATTAATAGAAAAAGGCAATGCAATAAATAAGTAATATGCCATGGAGTAGTGTCTCCTGAGAAGATCCTCCAAGGGAAATTTGCCATACCTAGGTTTTATACACGTGAAGAATACCCGGAAAGTTCTAATGGCCAGTCCATTAGAACTTCACACAGCCAACTATATCACTGGCAACCCAAATTAACTACCTACAAATATTAAGGTGACATACTTCTCTAGGACTTGGAATCGATTTAAGGCGAATACCCCAAAAATTTTTCATTGCTCTGTCTATAGAGGATATATTCCACTCCGTTCAGTTGCTTGGTCTGGCTGGTGAGAAACGGCATTGGGATTGGAAGCTTAGTTACACACAATGTGTATAGAAAAAAAATATTTTGAGTGTTCACAGTTCGGAAAAGAAAAAATATATTTGTCGAATAAGTCTATATAACTGACATCACTAAAATTCAATTTATTTAACAATTGAAAACTATAAGATTTTTAAAATGTCTATATCGCTGGCCGACGACCAATTTGTTCTATTATTTTTGT